AAAAAAAAAAAAAATATACCGTCGAATTGAATACCTCCTTCTTTTGGGAAGTCGGTCAAAAACACTCTATTTGCCCTTTTGATTTACCCTTTTCGGCCTTTGACCCGACCTCTACTCGCTTGCTCGGTATACCGTTGCTTTTGTTCTCTTCCGTCTAACATTTAAGATATCTATTTATAGCTGTTGATCTTGTGTCCTTTTAAATTGTTATTAGATGTCATAAATAATTATTCAAGCTTGTTTATATGTTGAACTAATCAGTAAGGTCCCTAAAAATTGACAGTAAAAAATAGATTTTAATTGCATCAAACTTTTATTTTTTTAATTAAATAATATAATTTCTGGAACGTTGTTTAAATCTGTAATTGAATGATTGCGTAGAAAACTAATTGGATAAAGTGTGTTTTGATTGCTTGATCGATCACAATCCATCGAAACTTTCCTTTAACGTTTTCTTAAGATTCAATATAAAAGCGTAACAAAAAAAGCAATTTGAAAGCATTGGGTAGTTTGTATTTTTATAAAAGAATTTCCTCGTTCCCTATTCTGAAACGGCGTAGCTTCGGGCATTAACAAACGGAGGGAACTTGGCAGAAGTGGGTAAATATTTATAGCGTTCAGAATTAAGCGAGGGAAATGTTTTCGATCTCTCACCGCCGGACCTTCCCAACGTCTTTCTATAAATTGGAAAATTCCTCACGCTCTTTATCAAAGAAACTTTCCCATTCCGTTAAAGGTAGAAACTATTACATGATGCTTACAAATGCTAAATACGAGTACTACATAATGTCAACATCGCAGAATGACGGGACTTTACAGGAAGACAGCTGACGGCGGCCATACTTTTTTTTAACTCTGCGCTTACGATGTCGCCAACACCGTTAAGTTATTAATAAAATAGCAAAAGAAAGTTCACTAAAATATATCAAATAATAATATGTAAATTAAGGGTTACATTTCCGTACATTTTCTTTCGTTTCCATTATCATACATATTTAAAAGTTACCAAGTACACTTTGTCGTGGAGAAATCATGAGTTCGAAAGTCGATAGCGCTTTACTCGTTACCCACCCCTTTAGTATTATTTGAAAATGTATAGGTTACTCGATTGAACACTTTAATGCTGACGTTAAGGGTAAGGGGTTTAGAGATAGGACATGGAAGCATTCTTGACTTTTTGATTTTTGGATCTATTTTGACAAGTCAAAGAACAAGGAAACAGTACTTTTTTATTGGACTACGATAAAATCTGAAAATAACAGTTATACAGATTCTAAATAAATCCATAACTGTTTTTGACACTCAATTAATTCCACGGGAACGGTATATATTTTTCTAATTCACTCTAGGTTACCACCAGATCTGGACAACCGTATTGGAGCAAAAGTAACTAAAAAGTCATTGTCCTAAGTAGTACTTGACTCAAGAAATATTACTTGTTAAACTGTAAGAATTATAGCGTTAAACGTAATTAAGAACTTACTGGAGATAAATTCTCGGTTACGTTTCGGGGGAGATTAGTGAACAACAGCGATAAATTAAAACAATAGAAACCAGATAAAGTCGTATTACAGGCTGAAATTGAGATAGTTTCAAGACAAAAGCGTGCTAATCCAATTTACTGTTATCCGCTTTTCTTGTTATCCCATTAGCTTTATATTGGTATTACGCCTGTCTATTACTGTCCATAACATAGATAATCTATCCAGTTTTACTCTTTAGATCTCTTCTTATTGTAACTAACTTTAATTAACTTTTATTTGCTTTTCCTTGTTAAAGCGTCGGTTAGTATTCTTTCTACATAATGTTTTTTCTTTTGAATAAATGATTTATCAATCTAGATTTTTATTTAATGTTTTCAATATTTTAAGTTACTTTTAACTTAAATAAGTTAAGGTTAAGTATGCTTGGCGCCCGGACACGGGCGCGAGGTGGCCGGTAGCCAAGCATGCTTAACCTCACTTACACAAACATTTCAGTCTCTTCAAATATTAGAGAGGAATTTATTTATGTCAATGTTAAATGTAATAACTAAATGCCTTTTTATTCCTTTCGTATAGATTATTTTATCACCATTGTTTGTATCTATGTACTTTATGTAGATAAAACTTTTGTTTATTCTGGAACTAGATTTCGTTCGCGACTCCGTCAGCGTGGTATTAAAAATAACAAAAGTGAATAGCCTATGTCTTCTTCCAGACTGTCTTCTAAATCTATACAAAATTTCATCGAAATCCGTTCAGCCGTTTAGGCTACAAACTTTAACAAACATCCATCTATCCATCCATCTAAACATTCGCATTTATAATATTAGTATGAAGTA